TAAATCTTGAGGCTTTGACGATAAAATCTCCAACGGGGATTTGCCGTCAAGAAGTTTGGTGGGGGTTCTGTTGATTAGATATACTGCTGTTTTAACACACTCCCCCCAAAACTCAACTGGTAAAGAGGCTTGAAACATAAGAGAGCGAGCAACGTTTAAGATATGACGATGTTTACGCTCAACCCGGCCATTTTGTTGTGGGGTACCAACACAAGAAGTTTGTATACATACCCCCATAGAGTCATAATATTGGCGTAAAGGAGTATTAAGAAATTCAGTACCATTATCAGAACGAACAATCTTTATGACTTTGGAATATTGGGTGTGAATCATTGAGAAAAAACGTTGAAGACAAGAGGTGACTTCACCCTTCGAACGAATAAGGTACACCCAAACAGCCCGGGAAAATCATACACAATAGTGAGAAAATAGTGAGCACCAGATGATAAACAAGCAGTATAAGGCCCCCATAAATCACAGTGAATTAAATCAAAAATGGCCTGAGCTTTATTATGGCTTATAGAAAAAGAAGACCGAGTTTGTTTAGACATAAAACAAATTTCACATGTTTGAAGTTTCTTGACAACAGACTGGGACTTATTAAAATTAAAGAATGACAAAATATCAGGTGACGGATGACCCAAACGTTGATGAAGAAGAAATGGGTCAAGTTGGGTAGCCCTGGCCGACGCAAGAGGAGAAGCAAAATGATAGACTCCGTTCTGTAGTTCACCCTGTCCAATCACCATCTTCGACGAACGGTCCTGTATTACACAACCATGATCATTAAAAATTACATGACAAGTAGTATCTCGTATTAAGCAACCGACAGATATTAAGTGACAATACAAAGTGGGAACAAAGAAAACATGATGAAGCACCAAATGAGGCGATAATTGAACACTTCCCTGCTTTGTAGCTTGAATGCGAGAACCATCGAGTAGACATATGGGGTGAGGAGGAACATCCACAAGATTAAATAAATGGGACAAATTACCCGTCATGTGATGAGATGCACCACTATCAATAAGCCATTCACAAGGAGAGAACACTTTACCCGAATAGGTGTGTGAGGCGGATGCTTCCAACATGGACATGAGACGGCTCATTTGATCGCTGAGAGAACTGTTCGCATCACCCGATGCGGCATGAACTGCAGCAGCCGGGACGACAGCCGACCCACTGCCGGACTGGGCTGGCTTACTGCCCAGAATGCCGCCAGACCCACGGCCTCCTCTGCCGGCGGGTAGACCAGCGCCACGACCACCGCGGGTGGAACCACCCCGATTTCCTCCTCCCCGGCCGTACTGTGGTGGAAAACCTATGATCTCAAAACACGTTTCCACACTGTGATTGGTGCGACCACAGTGAGAGCATAACGGTTTTCCAGACGGGGAAGGACGCCGATCCGTCTTAGCAACAAACGCAACTGAATCCGTGCGATCATCATGAGCACGCACAATATGACGGTGACGCTCTTCCTGAGTGACTAAAAAATATGCACGATCAATATCAACAACTGGTTCGGTGCCAAGAATTTGGGACCGAATGGGACCAAACTGTTCATCATCCAATCCAAGCAAAAAATCAATAGTTTTATCTCGTTCTATACGTGCACGCGTGAGGGCTGCCGCCTCACATTTGCAGCCATTAGTGGGATCAGACGTGCCATGGAGTTGATTCCATAAAGTGATGAACTGATTATAGTACGAGACAACTGTTTGTCCCTTTTGGCGCAAGGAGTTCAATTCAGACTTCAATTGATATACACGAGGACCATTAGAACAACCATAACGTTTCTTCAAATCCTCCCATAGCACAGAGGCAACAGAGTGAGACACAATACTAGGCTGGATGGATTCGTCAACACTATTGAAGATCCAACTACAAATTATTTGATTATTGGCAGACCACGCTGACAACTCATGTTCATCGGTAGGTTTGGGAATACCACCGGGGGACAAAAAAACAGATTTACCACGACCACCAAGAGCATTACGAATTGCCTTTTCCCAAATATCAAAATTATCACTTTTCAACAGATATTTGGTCAAAGAGTTACCGGGACCTTCAGAAGGATGAAGATAGTATATTGACGACGGATCGTGAATCAATCTTGTCTTCTTAGGGTTTGAGTTCCCGTCGGCTGACATGATGATACGCGATGAAGACGAAGAACTGACGATGGAGGGAGGACCTGCTGGACCGACGATGTTCCCTGGCGACACACGAGGCCGGCGACGACGAACAACCGGCTGGCGATGGGACTGGTACGGTGACGACGACGATAAAAAACGGAGACCCCTAGGGTTTTACGTGACTTCCCAGAAAAGAGGCTCTGATACCATGTAGAATATTATGAACTGAATTGGTTGGTTGTTTCCTTGATACAGTAGAATATATATACATGAGTTACGGGCCCAACATCACTAGCCCAATATACAAAATTACAATTAAACATATATACATAACGCTAACAGGTCTTAAGTAATCTGGTCATAAGTGGTACAATTGACCCAGTGAATATCTCGAAAAAGAAAGATACAAATTTGAATTCAACCTATGTGTTGTCATTCAAGGATCGCTCTCAATATTCTTTATTATACCAGTTTACGTCGACGTATAAATATCATTAGATTTCCTGAAGAGATGGAGAAAACAAAAAAAACTGTTGAACTCTTGAAGAGAGAATTTGAGATGGAAGATCTTGACATGACATAAATTATACTTTGGATTGTATTATAAACACATATATGATGGCACATTTGTCCATAAGTTAAACTACATCCAGAAGATGTTAACACGTTGAAGGGAGACAGAACAAAGCAAATCTCAACAAAGTTTTTCTCGACATCTAATCTGCCGAAAGAAGGAGAGATCAATGTTTTTCAAGTTAAGCAAAATTTGGTGGACTTATTCACCAAATCTCTACCTAGACACAGTTTTGAGCAACTCAGAAAAAAGATTGTACTTCGCAGGCTAACAGAGATAAATTAGTTTGAGGGGGAGTATATTTTTATTTTGAGGGAAAATATTATACACGCTGTACTCTTTTTTCATTAACTAAGTTTTGTCCCACTGGGTTTTCTTAGTAAGGTTTTTAATGAGGCAACATAACTGATCTTACAGGATCAGTTAATATAGGTCCTGAAGAACCTAGCCAACATTATCCTGTAGCATAATGTTGTTAGTGTATAATGAACGATGATATATCTGAGGGGGAGTGTTAAATATGGCAGATATATTACTCTTATTATTTAGAATATTTGGTTACCTTGTTTAGTTACCTAGACTTTATCTCCTCCCTGTGTATAAATACCCCGACATATGATGAATAAAGTACTCAGTTCAAAATTCCTGAAGCATGCAATCAGAAAGCTCGTGAGTTATTCTCAATCAAGTTACAGAGATCATTATACGGATTGAAACAATCTGGTAGAATGTGGTATAACCATCTTAGTGAATACCTTGTTAGAGAAGGCTACATAAATGATCCAATTTGTCCATGTGTTTTCATCAAGAAATCTGAAGTTGGATTTGCTATCATAGTAGTATATGTAGATGACTTAAACCTTGTTGGAACACCAGAAGAGTTAATAAAGACTGCAAACTATTTAATGAAAGAGTTTGAAATGAAAGATCTTGGGAAAACCAAGTTTTGTCTCAGCCTGCAGATCGAGCATGTATCGAATGAGATTTTTATCCATCAATCAACATATACGGAAAAGGTCCTAAAACGATTTTACATGGATAAGGCACACCCATTGAGCAGTCCCATGGTTGTTCGATCATTAGATGTAAAGAAGGACCCTTTTCGCCCTCGAGAATATAATGAAGAACTTTTAGGTCCGGAGGTACCTTATTTAAGTGCTATAGGGGCGCTAATGTATCTTGCAAATTGTACAAGACCTGATATAGCCTTTTTGGTTAATTTGTTGGCAAGATATAGCTCAGCACCAACACGACGACATTGGAATGGTGTTAAACATATCTTACGTTATCTTCGTGGAAAAACCGATATGGGCCTGTTTTATTCGAAAGGTTCGGAACCACAAGTTGTTGGTTACGCAGATGCTGGCTACCTTTCTGACCCACATAAGGGTAAATCACAAAGTGGATATGTTTTTACTTGTGGTGGTGCTGCAATATCATGGAGATCAGTAAAGCAAACACTAGTTGCAACCTCATCAAATCACTCGGAGATAATGGCGCTATATGAAGCAAGTCGAGAATGCATATGGTTAAGGTCAATGGTTCATCACATTCGAGAAACTTGTGGATTATCTTTGAATAAGGCTTCATCATTACTCTATGAAGATAATGATGCTTGTATTGCACAAATTAAAAGTGGCTACATCAAAAGCGACAAGACGAAGCACATATCACCAAAATTCTTCTATCCGCACAAGCTTCAGAAAAGTGGAGACATTGAGGTTCGTCAGATACAGTCATGCAATAACCTAGCGGATTTGTTCACAAAGGCATTGCCAACTACGACATTTAGGAAGATGATCAATGGTATTGTAATGCGTCAACTCAAGGATCTTTCGCCATGTTCAGGGGGAGCATTATAAGCACTGTACTTTTTTTCCTTCGTCCAAGCTTTTGTCCCATTGGGTTTTTCTTGGCAAGGTTTTAACGAGGCAGTGTCATAAGCTCAAGTCTACCTAAATGGTGAACATCCAAAATCCAAGGGGGAGTGTTATGTACAAATGTCTTTTGATGTTCTCCATGTCTAAGTTAGATTTTTGATTTTCCCCTTTGTAAGCCTATATATAGAGGCTCCATATGTTGAAATGAGACATCCATATCTTTAGTCTCTCATTGCATTCTTTCTCTTTCACTCTCCATTGCACTTTGATCTTCCATTTGTGTTCTTATCAAGGTATATCTCTATCATCTTGTTCTTGATAATATTTCTATTATCTTTATTCTTAACAGTTTACACTTTTTTTCAATCTAAATATACGGAGTATTACGGAGTATTTTTTAGCACGTTTTTTAATGATGTAGAGTCAAACTATAAATGAATTTTAAACCATAGTATGGAGTATCTTGGTGTTTAATCCCAAAGATGTTTCATGTCATTCTAATAAAATCTTAGGATCCGTTTGGTATACGGAATTGACTGAATTAGAATTGAATTGGAAATTGAAATTCTATGAAATTAAGTTAGATGCAATTGAATTATTCAATTTCAATTCATTTTTAGCACTACTAATTATAAATCCACATATTTTTATGCTACCAAACAACAGAATTGAAATAATTATTATCCTCAATTCTTATTCCATAGTTGGAATTCCGCGTACCAAACAGAGCGCTAATGTATAGATTATTTACAAAACTCGTGAAATACCTTTAGGGTCTCTTTGATAAATAAAAGTATAAAACTGATATAAGTTTCAATATCTAAGATATCAAGCTTAAAGTTTCGATATCTAAGACATCAATTAAGTACCAAAAAGAATAAAAAATAAAATTACATCAACAAGAATTAAATCATTTTAATTTGACATTTTAAAACATTTTAGCTCATATAATACGTTTTTACTCCCTCCGCCCATTTTATAGTGTTTGTTTTAATTTACGATATTTGGCTGAAGTTATTTTTAGTTCATTTTATTTGAAAATTGTGATGGAATTAAAAAATAAAATTTACGTAATTAAAAACTATATCAAAAGCTATTTGAAACAAGAAGTGACAGAATTATATTATTTTATCAAATAGATACTAAAAATAATTAAAAAAAGTGAATAAAGTTTGACCATGTAAATAGTAAACAAACACTTCAACTTTAGATGGAGGAAGTATAATAAAACATTATTCAACACTTAAAATTTGATTTCTTAATAGCTCACAGGAAAAAGACTAAAGTAGGATAAAAACATTGAAAATATACCAAAATAGGACTTCCATTTCTTATTCCCGAAATAGGAGTTAAAATGCATTTACATTACCAATCATGACATGTACATTACGTAAAATGCATATGTACAGTGCTACATTACTACATTGCAAACTCATATTTAGGAAATAAAAATATGAAACTTCTATTTTTATACTTTCTCTATGTTTCACTTCTATTTGGAGTGATTTCTTCATAGCTCGCCATCCAGTATTCCAGTTGTCACCATGACGTGTTTTTTTTGTTTTTGTCCAAAGACTTTGTTTTAAATCTCAAAATTTAAACTCCCTCCGTCCCCAATTAGATTACAATTTTTTTCTCTCTTCTCGATAACTTTTATTATTTTACACGATTTCATTAAGTATTTGATAAAATAAAATATTCTTGTCACCTCTTGTTTTGTAGAACTTTTGACGTAGTTTTTTAATGTGTAATTTTTATTTCTTATCGATATACCGATTTGTAAATAAAATGATTTCAAAATATGAGATATTTTTCATCATAAACCCCAATTTGTAATCAAATTGGGACGGAGGAAGTATAACTTTTTTAAGATTTCAAAATATATATATTATCTTGTCACCAAAACGCAGCTAATGGGTGTTGAAAGTATACTAGACAACCCTCCTACATGAAGACACGCAAATGCCTAGCCAATATGATGAAATTATAGGTACGGGATAAGTCTCGATCACATCTTGTAAATTCTTGGATAATGCTACATGTACCTCATATTGTATCCCATTTTGTACCCCAATGTTTTGCCCTGACATTAAATGTAGGTGCAAAACTGGTAATATGTCAGTGTTGTACCTACATTAAATGTCAGGTTAAAGCTTTGGGGTACAAATATGGGGTACTTAATCCGAGTTGAGCTCAATACATATGTTTAATATTCAACCATCCTACACTTACACCAAAAAGTATATATACTCTAAAATTACCCAAAAGATATACACTAATATTTTGATAATTCACACTGACACAAAATACTAGTGCATTAACAAAAAATTGTACTAACATTTTGTGTCTGTGAACTATCACTCTAACATTACGCTGACACGAGGGTGTACAAATTGGGTGCAAACTTTGAGGTACAAATAGCTAATCCATTTAGCATTAGAGTAATCCTAGGGATGTGCAGTCATGCTCACCATATACTCTCTCTGTTCCTGCATGTTTATCACATTTCTAAAAACGAGACAAAATATTAAGTATTTTAAATTTATTTTATTTAAATTTGGTATATAAATAAAAAAATAAAATTTACATATTTAAAATCTACAGGAAAAGTTCTTCGAAATAAAATGTGCCAAAAATATTTCATTTTATGAAATAACCAATAAAAACATACAAATAAATAAAAGTTTTCGTGACTGTTGAAAAAGTAAATGTGGCAAACATTTTGGGACGGGGGAAGTAATTCTTATCAACTCTTTAAATTTTTATCTACGCCAAA